AAAAAAAAAAAAAAAAAAAAATGCCAGTAAAATTCTCCGCTTCTGACCAGTTTCAAAGGTGGTAATGTGATGAGGCAAACACATCTGACACCACTGGCAAGGCCACCAGCATTTGCTACCAGGGATTTCTAGACTGGGGCAATTTCCATCCCACCCAAGGCAACAAGCAAGCTAGAAATTATAAGAACTTCGCCCGATTTATAGTCTCTCACTCACACTATCAGCTTTGGGATAGCTGTAGAAGAAAAATAATTCCAAACACAAAAAGAAAGGCATATACACTAATATGCATAACAATCAATAATATTTTAAAATGTTTAAAGAGAAAATGTAGAAAATGTTTATAATACAGTAAGGAAAAACTGGACACATTGTATATGTTTGTAACTCAATCTGGGATATGATGAAGGGAAATTTTTTTCCTTTCTTTTCTGAATTTTCCAATGAGAAAAAAATGCAAGTGCTCCTTAGGGTGAGATCATCTCATGACCTTTCCTTCCAGATGACTTCTTAAAGGATCTTAATTCACTTCCAAAACTCTAGATGCAATCTACAAAATGACCACTCACAAACCTAAACCCCGAGACCCCATTGTGTTTTATTAAAGACTGGGTTTCTCCATGTAGTTTGGGCTGGTCTTGAATTTATTATTCCATACAATTTCTGGAGACTCTCCTGCCTAGCCTCCCCCTAGGGGAGGATTACAGTTTTTCTTTGAGCAACGAGGTAAATATATTAAGTTCATCCTAAACATCTCCACTTTATAACCCACAAGACCTCAAGTGTCAACAAGCTAAACTTCTATCCATCACCTGGTCGCAATCACTTCCTTCTTCTGGGCTTTGGGGCCGGGGAGAGGGCTCACTGGAATAAGCGCTTCCCTGGCAAGCGCAAGGGCCTGAGTTCAATCCAAGGTTCCGCCAAAAAAAATTTTTTAAAAAGTAGTACCTGAGTTTCTCACCTAGTTTAAAGACAATGCTGCACTCCCCAAGCTAGACAGTTGCCATCATAACAGATTGTTCCTTTTTCTTTCTCCTCGTATCAGTTGGCCATCAAACGAACAGAATCTCCTAGTCTTCCTCCCACTAACCAGTCTCTTCCCCAGCCGCGTCACCCTCCAATCCTCCACATCAAGCCGCCCCCCCAAAAGAAAAGAGATGTAACGTAGCTCCTCTGAATAAAATCTCACCTAGTGGTTATCAAATAAAATCCAAAACTCTTTAACCTGGCATACAAATTCCCTCCGCGTCCCCATTCTTCACTCCTCACCAGCTCACGCCGCAATCACACGGACACAGCTCTTCTCACACGTCACAGTTCGCTCTCACGGTGCCTGATCACCCTCGATCTCCATCCGGACCCACGCCAGGTACCCAGGACCCGTCGGGGCTCACGGCTCCAGGCGCAGTGGCGTCACCGCCCACCAGGCTTCATCCAGATTCCGCGCAACCACCCCAACTCCCGCCTACTCCGTCCCCTAGGTCTCAGATCGCCCTGTTGTACTCGTCTTCAGCCCTTTCAGTTACTGCACTGCAAGGAAGGGGCTCGCGGGTTTTCCTTCCCGTTCGGTTGCCCAATTACCTGCCATGCCACTGACAGGCTAAAAGCATCGTTAACCCCCCCCCAACCAAAAAAAAAAAAAAAAACGGGGCAGTCACTCAGGAATGTGGCGCAGGCTAGGGCAGGGAGAAGGGGGCCACTGCAACACTCCAAGCCAGGAGAGGCTCAGCCCAGCCCCCGGTGCGCCCGGGCCGGGCCTCGGGAGGCGGGGACGCGGCCATCCACCCAGCTGTCAATCAAACGTCCCGACCCACGGGGACCGGAGAGGCTGCCCGAGCCCGCCCGCTCCCGCCCGGCCCCGGAGCCTCACTTCTCCACATCCGCTGACTTCATGATGTGGGTCTTGGCCGCCGTCAGCTGCCAGGGCCCGAAGGAGAAATTCTGGTGGCTGCTCTGGAAGCCATGGATCATCATGGTCGAGGAGCGCGCGACGTGCGAGCGGCAGCAGCGGCGGTGGCGGCGACCGAGAGCACCGGTCCCAGCGCCTCGCTGCGGCCCCGACCCCTCTCCTTCCGAGCCGTTCCCATGCCCCGCCCCGCCCCTTGCCCGCGACCCGGACTCCGCCCGCTTTCCGCCTTCCTCCCCGCCCCTCTGTTTTTGCTTCCGGGACGAGTTGAAACGCTACGTGACGCACGTCTTACGTTAAGACGCACCGGAAACCGGAAAAGAGGGGAAGGCTCTGGGGGCGGGGCTTCGATGGTAAGGGCAAGCGGTCCAGTTCGTCTCTGGGTGACGTCATCCCGGAAGAGCTGACGGAATGGGTCTCCAGGATTGAAAGTAACATCCACACGTAAAATGTGTTACCGTTGTTGACAGGCGTCCGAAACAGTGTAGTTACCATGTGTGCCCTTAAATCGTGCTGGAGAGATGGCCAATATTTTTCCACTAGGACCAAAAACCAATAATCTCTAGGAGTACTGGAGGTCCAGCAGCCACATGATTTAGAAGTGGCCATCTGGCTTCTGTTAACTGACACAGACTACTATCAAAAGTTTCATCCTTCCTCATGATGAATGTAATTATGTACTGTAAATGTGTACTAATAACATTTTAAAATTATAAATTGTTTTCATCTTTAGGAGCCTGGCATGATGGCAATCAACTGTAAGCACAAAAACACGAACTATAAGAGTGTATTAAATGAGTTTCTTTTGGTTGAAAGTGAGAGAAACCCTCTTCAAAATGGCCTTAGCAACAGGAGTCTTCTTTTCAAAAAGAGAATAGGCATTTGGAGTTACCTCAAGATATGTGAGGAGAAAGTGAACATCTAGGCCTCAAGAAGGACTCAGGGACTGGAAAGTCTGAGGTGCTGCCTGGCCCAACACAGTCTGATTCCCTCCACAGCTCCTAGTCTCCCTCTCTCCTCTTGGGTCTATGTGTCTGCTTCCTTCTCCCCTCTTCACAGAGCAATCTCTCCACTTCTCTTACTGTGTAGCCCCCAGAGCTTTCTAAGAGGCATCTGGATAGCTACCTCTTAGCTCACATTTCTAATTCCCAGCAGAGGTGTCCAGCATGGCCCAAGCAACTGTAACTAGATTGGTTTTGCTCTGACAAGTCCGTGGGATCAGGGACAGTTCTCAAAGAGGCATATATTCCCACCCCCAAGATTATGGGCTTTATGTTAATTAGAGGAAGATAGAAGGATTTTATTATGGTACAGCTACTGACCACATAGATATGGGGAACAAGCAGAATCCTGGGTCCTTACCTGCAACTCAATCAAAGCATAATTTGTGTTTTCTTTAGGCACAGTCAGGGACTTAAAAGTTGTTTTTGCTATGAACCATGTCTTCACTTAGGCCTTACAGATAGATGCCTAATAGGCAACTAAAAGCAGAACAAAATTTGAGCCTCATTTTCTATCCTTTGTTACTGTATATTTTGGGTGAAAACTCTTCTTAGCTCTGCATAAAGGTATTTTGATCATTTAGGAAGTGTTTGTCCAGAAGCTGGCTAGACAGGGTTGGTTATCCCCTAATTTATAGGATCTCATTCTCCTTCAAGACTGAGGACAGGAAGGTAAGAGATTTACAGGGACATTCACCTACACCCAGAAGCCTCCAGCCATTGTCCTAAACCTTGATCACCTGGATTCCAAGAAAGGCAAAGCCACACATGATCAAGGCTACCACATATATTATCCTCCTGGAAATAGACCATCCCTACCCATGAGGATTCTAGAACTGTGTGACACCAGGAGTGAGATAATGGTCAACTGGGTGCCAGCCCACCAGCTCATTCTTGAAAGCTGGCCTCTACCTTTGCAGGTAGAGCAGTCTGAACCCCTGTATCAGAATGTGCCCCCTCTGACTACCTAAGCTGGAGTCCTTTCCTGTCTTCCTTCTAACTTTACAATTAAAGGTCGTGGGTTGGGATACAGTTCAGCGGCAGAGCACCTGCCTGGTAAGCATGAAGTCATGAGTTCTATTCTCAGTAACAACACAAAAAAAAGGTCTATGTCCCCTCTATGGATTTGTGTTTTAGTTTTAATTTCCATTATTACAAAAGCAAAGACCCAAGCTAGCCAGTGACACAAGCAAGTGGTAGAATGAGATAAAACAGATGTTGAAAGAGAACTTACAAAACTTAACATCACTTTAAGTTTCTTGTGGCCAAAAGCAGACTATTCTGTCTACGCAGCATGCTGGCAAGATTTGAGGCTTACAACAGGATGGATAAGACAAGTTCTAGGGTATCCATAGGTGCAGTGTGCTATAGTCCAAAGTAAAAATGACTAAATGGTAGGTAGCTCATCAAATATAAAAGTAGGGGACTCCCGACTTATAAATCAACCTGTATGTCTTTTATATCTATAGTTATAACCCAACACACCCATTTGGATTATGGGAAATTGTCTTGAAAGAATTCACACTCACTACTTCAACTTTGGAGCCATTTCTCTGGCTTTATGAGGACCAATGTGAATTTTCACCTGCCTGAAAAGCTGATGAATCCCAGCAGACAGGAGCTACCCTTACAGTGACCATCCTTACAGTGGTCCCCAGCTCGTGGTGTGGTTTCTCTCACCATTGGGTGACCTGTGATAGAGATCGTCCCTGGAATCAGATAGTGTTCCTGGATGTGGAGGATCCTGGAAATAGAACCATCCCTACTTGTGAGGATTCCAGAACTGTGTGACACCAGGAGTGAGATAATGGTCAACTGGGTGCCGGCCCACCAGCACATTCTTGAAAGACCCCACAATCTTGGGGGTGGGAATATATGCCTGTCTGAGAACAACTGTCCCTGATCCCATGGACTTGTACCAGCTAAACCAATCTAATTACAGTTACTTGGGCCATGCTGAACACCTCTCCTGGGAATTAGAAATATGAGCTAAGAGGTAGCTATCCAGATGTCTGTTAGGAAGCTCTGGGAACTACACAGTAAGAAAAGTGGAGAAGTCACCTGGGTGACTGTCCTTGAAGGAGGAGCAATTGTCTCCATTTTGGCTGAACCTGGTGCTATTCTATGTATTGATGTGTGTAGAGCTGGCTAGGACTTTTCCTTGTCCCTTCAATTGGCTTTAAGCAATATAAATCAGGCCAGACAAGGTGCTGATGTGTAGTTTTTAAGCAAAGATGACAGGACAGTGTCCACCTCACCCTACCCCAACCCACCACCCACCTCCAATAAATGTCTGAGCAAGATGGGATGGAGACCATGCCCTGTACCATCAACTGGATCTGGGATGAGCCCTGAGATAAGAGGCTATGACTTCTCAAGGCATAAAAGATTATTCATTAAAGCTGAAGCACAAACTCCAAAACATTAGCTACTATGTCACTCAGTTGTGTCATGCAGATTACTCTTCTGCATATCCTTCTCTCTGCATATTGCAGAGGTGATTTCAGGCCTCCTACCTAGCCCAGCTAGCCACTCATATTCTTCCCGCCATTCTCACAGTCACATCCTCAAATCACTCCCTTCATCGTGTATTAATAAAGACCCAGCCCTGGGTCAAGGCCTTTGTTCCCAATCGCCATTATCTTATCTGAACTTAGGACCCCTTGGCTCCTCGCAGCTACAGATATGTCTTAGTGTCTTTATTTTCACTTTCGGTTGCACTGGAAGTGGTAGATTGGAATTAATTCACTAGAATTCCAATAACTTTTCCCTGGGATTACAAACATAAGCTTCCTGGACTGCAACGAGGACCAGGAAAGGCTCTCTAGATTTGGTGTTAATTTTTTGGCACTGATGGATTTTTTTGGTCATTAAAGTTGTAATAATCTGAACATTATGACACTTCCTTGTATATTTATAGTATATGCATGCATTGTGAGGTTGTACATATGCACAAGTCAAGGAATGGTAACAAATGAGTTGCTGGAACAGGTAAATAGCCCTATTTAAGAATAATTTTTTTTTTTTTTTTTTTTGGTATTTTGTGAAACTTGTATTGTGGAACCACAGGAATATTTTTTTCCACATCCACATAACTTTTACTGTATGTTGTTAACAGTCCTATTTTAGTATTACTTAACATTGTTACTCTCTATTTGCACCTAATATATAATTTTTTTTTTTTTTTTTTTTTTTTTTTTGTATTTTAGGGAAGGAGCTACAGAGTGTTCAAGGTCTCACTACTAGATCAGACTCATAGTGATCTGCCTGTTTACAGCCTCCCAAGAGCTGGGATTACAGGTGCACTCCACCACGCCCAGTCTCAATTGCTGTCTCAGCGTGCCCCAGGGGAGCCTGGGGCCGGCATGGCAGGCCCGGAGAATTGAACCCCTGGATGAATAATTTTTAAAGGGATTTTTATCATTATTATCAGAATTAATGTTACCTAGTGAAGTAATTGTGTCCACTTTTATGGAGGTTTGGTGGTGGCTTAGTATAAATGGGAATTCTCTTGGAGACTTAGGAAAATACAAACACACAAAGGACTTTGATTCAATTACTACTTTAAGCCTGTAAGCAAATCATTGGGCAATTCTGCATAAGATATACTTTTTAAAGTGTCTTTTATGGAAATAACCTCCTGAAAAGAATAGATTTTTATATTTTATTTTATTTCATTTAGTTAGTTATCTTATGTATTTGGTACAGGGTCTCACTATGCAGCTCAGACTCGTAGTGATCCTCCTGTTTTCAGCCTCCCCAGAGCTGGGATTACAGGCAAGTACCACCAAGCTCGGTTTTGGTGACCAATTCAGTG